AACATGGGTTCCTATGTTGTTCAACAGCTTCATCCCCATCCAGGGAGGTGGAAACAGAACAAAGTAGGGGATAGCTGGGTCTGGGTGAAGTACGGTGTCACTTTATGTCACGGAGGCGTTACGCTAGCCGTGAAGGCTGACCTGGGTCACCCCGAAACGTTACTGGCTAAAGGGGCTCTGGTGAAACAGTGACTGGCCTAGCAAGCCGACAGCGGATACATCTTGCTACGAGACAAACAAAGGAGAATACACGCACTGATTCAAATAACTGCATCTCCCCTCCACGCTTAAAGGCAACAGAGGATGAAAAAGTCAAAGTCAAAGTAAAGTAAGCGCTGGCTGTTGGAGATTTCAACCTGGGTTCCTGTGCTACTCATCCGTGTCTACGGACTGTTAGAGAATATAACATAGGCTCCTCCTCCTATTTTACCCATCAGCTTTTGCTTGCTGTTGAAGAATTCAACATGGGCTCCTACCCCTACGTTAATCTTCAGCTTCTTTTAGCTGTTGGAGAATTCAACATGGGTATCTATGCTATTTAATTGCTTCTATTGGAGAATACAACACGACTCCTCTCATCAGCTTTTGCTGGCTATTGGAGAATACAACACGACTCCTCTCATCAGCTTTTGCTGGCTATTGGAGAATACAACACGACTCCTCTCATCAGCTTTTGCTGGCTATTGGAAAATGAAACACAGACTCCTCTCATCAGCTTTTGCTGGCTATTGGAAAATAAAACACAGGTTCCTTCTCTTAAGTATGTTACCCATCAGCTTTTGCTTGCTGTTGAAGAATTCAACATGGATTCCTACTCCTTCGTTAATCTTCAGCTTCTGCAGTCTGTCATAAAATACAACATGAGCTCCTCCTAAGCTATTCTACTGGCTGCTGACTGCAGGACTAGGCAGTCTATGGCGCTGATGGAGAAAAAAGGTAGATAGCAGCATGTGCATCTAGATATCGGAGCAGGCCGAAAGGGAGGGGATGAAGAAGAGGTAGCCTGAGGCCCCAGAGACAGTGGCCCAGAAAGCCCAAGCTGCTCAGGAGGGAGGGCCCTTCTCTGTCACAGGAGGACATTTTAATCTTTAAGAAATAACAGCAGTTCTGTCCCTTGTCACTGATGCTGCCTTGTGTAAAGTGCATGGACGATAGCAGAAGAAAAAAAATGCTTTAATATTCTACTATTTGTGGTATTTTTTGTGCCATCAGATTGTCACTTGATAGGTCAACACTTGAACAAGTAACCTGATCAATTCCACTTAACGATCAAAGAAATCGCCCAACGTTTTATACATATATAAAATCATAAATGTCACTATGGTGATTTCAAATCACTTTTTGCATTTCCCTTAAAAAAACCCTGCTTTTTCACTTAAACAAACCCACGCAAAAAGCGTTTTTCAAAAAACGTCTGAGCAACAAGCTTGGAATGGCTGTGTAATCTGTTTGGAGATAACAGAAAGGGGTTTCATGAAATATTAGCTTTTAATAAAAATATTCCTGATTTTTTAAACTGTAGCAGTCACAGGGTATTTTGGCAGTCTCTTGTGCTGGTCCAGTGATATTTGGTTAATTTTGTTGGGGGGGGGGGGGGGAGTGTGTGTGCTATAAAAAAAAACCCTGCCAATGATGACGGAAAAAGGGTTTATGTACTTGTGAGTCAAGTTTGAGGATTAAATTCAAATACTTTCTGTGGGAAAACTCTCTTTCCTACAACATGGTAAAAAATCTGAGATGGCTGCCAGAGATTAACTTTTTCATATACATGAGTCAATAAATTAACTGATAAATTTTCTCATTAATCTATAAATAGATTATTTACGTCACTTTGAAAAACTCTTGCTATCATTAGCATCATGTCCTGGTAAGATGAAGTCAGTTTGTACCCCATGAACACACTTGAAAAAAAGGCATGAAACTTTTCAGACAATCTTTAACAAGTCACTTCTGGGCATTTTTTTTTCTTTTTCTTTTTTCTGTGTACCCTTCACATCGCCTTAAATAACAAGTCCATTGTAAAGCCAATGCCTTTATCACACTGTCACTCAAAGCTGCCTCGCACACAAAAAAACAGGGAACATAAATAGAAAGTAGCGTAACGACGCGGTACAATCAGGTGCTCATCAAATTTTGGGCGCGTGGAGTAACTGACATCATCTTCAAGCTTGTTCATTTGTCTATTTTGCGATTTAAATAAAAAAGTACCCATCAATCTTGAACAGAAGTCGACATACTTGCGATTGAAAAAGTGGATGTCACCTGGTTTCGAAAGGCAAAATTTGCTAGCAAAAGGCTACTAAAGTTTGGCAATTTCCACAGCATGAGAATCCTTTGAAACTGAAGATTTACATTTTCTGTGTCTGTAAGATCGTCTTTTTTTCCAGTAAAATCCACAGAGAAATATTTTCAAATAGACATTATAACAGGTTTGAAGACAAAAAACAAAACTCTATAAAAATTGCCAAACCGGCAAAAAAAATGACAGTGATCTTCAATTTCATTATTTTGACGAACGCCTGATTTCACCAAGATGCCTCACAATTATCTGTACAGGGAAATTTTTTAAATCGGAAAAAAAAACATCAAACCATTGGAATTCAGTGATATTGAAGACAAGTTACTTCTAATACTTTTGTTTCATGACGACTGGTGCTGAACGCAAAGAGTGATATATCAGAACCAGAACTATCACAAGATAAGGGACAAAAAATAAAAGCCCTGTCAAAAAGTCAACTTTCACAAAATAGGAGGAGTAACTTGCGAAAAATTACTGTGCCTAGATCTATACCGAAAAAAGTGACAAATGAGATTACTTTATTCTTTGTCATCTTCAAAGTTGCCCACATAAAAAAAAAGACCCCAAAAAATAATTAAAAACAAAAATTAATAAATGCATATGACCAACAAAAAACAAAAAAGACAAAAAAAGAAATTAACCTTAAAAATTCACCGTAAGTTCATCAACAATTTCGCCCATCACTCCATCATTCGTACAGCACTTTATTTATTTTTTTAAAAATGTAAGTAGTGAACAACATATCTTCATTTCACCATGCTCTCAGAATTCCATCTAAAGAGCAGCTCTTTGACACAAGAGGCATACATAAATACATTTTCATCAACTGTACACAGATCAATATTGCTGGGAAAAAAAGGTTCAGTCCACACACTTGTAACAACTGAGTGAAACACAAGTTGGATGACCAATCATGAAATATTTATAACATTTAGTTTTAGTTTTAGTAAGTGTTTTACGGCACTTGCAACACAATAAGGTCATATAAGTGCCGAAGATTAGAGGTGTTACAAGTGAGTAACAAACACAAAAAAGGAGGAGGGGAGATAAAGACGACAGATGTTTGATAGGAAAGAAGGAGCAAACCACACCAGAGCACCCGCCAACCACCCACAATTTATAACATTGCAAAAGAACATTTTAAGAAACCCAACATACGTTTTGAGTGTGACAATTCGCTGGCCTTTGAGATATGTATGTATGCTATACTGCCCGCAAATCTTGGAAACCAGTGACAAAAAAAACCACTGTGATAAAAAGTCCTTTCTATAGTATTTTCGCATATTTTCCATTTGCTTGTGCTGCCCAGCATCCCCAAGTGAGACAATCTTACTCTATTGTTAAATAATAATAATAATAATAATAATAATAA